CTTGGCCCCCCCCCCCCCACCGTCACCGTAATCGCTACCGTTGCTCATGGTAGTGGTGGTGGTGATGGCGGTGGTCGCCGTTGTTGTCGATACAAGCCCTAGCGCCGCCAGCGCAGAGCCTGCTTCTGCAGCTGCTGTTTCGTCCCGGCAAAATCGGGAGCGTCCAGCAAATGATGACGAAATTTCATGTTGTTTGCTTCGTACTTGTGTCTCTCACGGCCTTTCTCATTCATCAAACATTTTTAGTCGGCTTACTCCGAGCATTTTCTAGAATTCACCTGTTTTCTGGTGAGCGAGGGGGTACAATCCGCACGCGTTGAGCGGGGTCGAAGTGCCTTTGACAGGATAAACTCACGACTAAGGCTAGAAGTGCGGATGCTACTGTAGTATTCTATTTCTTACAGTGCCTGGGAGTCATTTGTAAGTACCAATATCACAGCGAAACATTTATGACCTCGTGAAAGAAATTGGCGTCTTCCGCTTGCTGTCATGCATGTCGGTATGAGGGCACGTTCCAGCTATCCCCGCCTGAGGGCTTTTTTTTCCAGCAAAAGATTGGAGTGGGGTTACGCGCTTTGGAGCATCGCATTCCACAAAGGACTCCGGATTCTCAAGTCCAGCGATCCATGCTCGACGCGGTGCATTTCCTCGGGATCACCTCGCTATCATCTCGCGCACCCACCTCCTTCCTTTTCCTTTGTCCCGGCAACACCCCTGTCGACACCACCGCTATCAGCAGCTTCGCCCTCCGGAACAGCTTCAAAGGTTCCGCGACGAAATGAGGTGCCGCTACTGCTGGGTTTTCTGCTGCCGCCGTGTACACCCTGTTGATGCGTTCAGGGACAGAAGACAACACGCGTTTCAAGCGAACGAATGGGAAAGCGTTACTAGACTCAATAGTCCGAGACCACCTGAGATGAGTCACTGCTTTGTGGTTTACAAGCGTCCGACGTCCTCGGCATCAAGAGAGAACATTGAGCTGCACTGTGTGCAGATGGGCAAGTGGAAGTGAAGGAAGAGGTGTCACCAATCAAGCAGTTGCTTGATGCAGTGAATGGCCGTCAAACTTGAACTTCTGTTGCCAATGTGTACAGCCAACCACCTACCCGACACGCTGGCGTCGACCAAATGAACACATTGTACTTGAGTATCAGGATACCGCACACAAACAAACCTGTTGCTGCAGGTTCAAGTCCGCCACCGTCGCCTCACAGGCGGCGGCAACACTGGTGGCTGACTCCGTGGGTTGCATGATCTCCCTAACAAAGGCGGGGTTGCTCTCATTTTTGCCGCGGTTGCTGGGACTGCTGTGGATGCAGCCGTCGGATGCGCCCCTCGTTAGTACCCGAGCTACCCCAGAGCTGCGGTTGGTTCCTGGATGTAAAAAGGTGCAGCAGTCACTAGTGAAGAGAAAAATAGGGATAAAGTCTTCATGTCAAGGGGAATACATGGCAACACAAAAACTAGTGTACCATATCACTTTAAACTGGAGGATGAATGTCATGCTTTTGTGGTGAGGGATAGTGGCGGCCCACGAACGTGAGAAATGGTCGCCTCGGTTTTCTCCAGTCCGTCCAATCGCGCTACCCATGGCCATCGCTCAGCGTGCCGTCATGAAATCAACCTCGCCAGTGGCAGTACGATTCTGTTTCGTTGCAAACAACGTTCCAATAAATCGCTGCCACCTTTTGCCCGCGGTGTGTTCGTTCTCCTGTCGTAAAAGAACTACAACAGCAAGCCGTCATTGTTCTTGCCTTGTGGTTCGCCGTCCTCACCCTGAGAATAATTCTTCTCCGATCCCGATTCAAATCCCGGTTCTTCGGCGATGGCTTTCATCAGTTTGGAGCGCACCCTGTTCGAAGAAAAAATTAACCAAGGTGAACAGGAGCAACGGAATAGCGAGAACAAGAATGTAGCCAAGAAGTTCGAAGTGGATACAACGAGATCGGCATCGCGCGACCGCTTGATCGAACAGGAGGAAAAAATACCGGAATCTACTCTCCGCAGGTTTCGACCGATGACGTTCTCGATTCGGGGCTCAGCCTCTTCCAAGTACAATGCTGATCCCGAGACAGCCAAGTCACGCTGGCAATCACGTAGGCCCGGTGAAAATAGCAAGTCAAAGATAAAGTAGGAACACAACATCGCAGCCCTAGATGACGTAGAGTGCGGTGAAAAACGCTGTAGCCATTCTCTCCGTCATCCGGTCAGCAGTGAGCGACGTCATATTTCGTAGCTCCAGCCAGTGTAACGGGAGCTGGTTTCCTTCACAAGGACAAGCGGATGTGCTGGGGGCATTGTCCAGAAAGACAAACAGCACTGAAAGCTCAAGGCACAAAATCAAACAGAGGGGGGAGGCCAAAAGCAACAGAGGGGACAAAACAAGAACGGGAAGCGCAAACCACGTTCAGAAACGCCAAAAGGAGACCGGGATGAATAGATCACAACGCGAAACAGTCATGCACGGAGCAGAGCGGAATAGCCAGAAACACGCGAAAAAAATGCAGCACGTGACATCAGCACATCAGAGGTCTGTCCCTCACGGTGATGAATTGGCCGATGAGCACTGTCGAGCAGCACCGATAACCGATGACTGCTGCCCTTTTTCTGCTGACGACTCGGCACCGTCGCTGGTGGTTTCGGCAGCTACTGCTCCAGCTGAAGGGGAACCTCCCCTATCTGGTGATCCTTGAAACCTTTGCGCCCTCCCTTTTGTCGCGCCGCCCCCCTCTTGGAATGGCGGCGAAAAGTTGTCGGGGCCTTCGGCCCCCTTACTGTTTGGGTCATCGTCGTTGGCAGTGCCGCTGCTGACGACATCGCCTCCAGCATTGTGGTGGCCTTGTTGGTGAGTGCTACACGTCTCAGATATGATGCCAAGCGTACAGTCAGCGCCTCGAAACTCTGTTTTCAAGTAGAGAGAAGGCAGCGGCGATTGGTCGCAGGCATGCAGTGACAGGAGGTGTGTTCAAATAAAGACAGGGCGGCAAAGATTTACAGCGGGCATGCACAGCAGTAATATGAGATGCGTTCATACAGAGAGATTGCAGCGACGAAAGACCGCTGGCATGCACAGCGATATGAGATGCACACCAGCCATTATCCGACAGGAATAAAGATAGCAGCCGAGCTAAAACCCGAACCTAGGCCTGGACATAGGTCGTCTCCAAAAATCAAAACCGTCCGTCCCAAACGGTTGGTGAGGCGTCTCCAATAGCAAAAGTGAAAACACACTCGACGTGATGACCATACTTTCGGGGCAAACCGGCTCTGAGCTATGCTAGGCACCTCGCGTTGACTTCCGTCTGCTTCGCCGTTGGCCACAAGATACCATGACGACTCCAAAATCGAATGAAACCGAGAAAAAAGTCATACGATATCAACGGCGAGGAATCTTCCTGAACTCATTAATGCCCACAGTCCTTAACCACGGGCGAAGTTTTTCCTCCTGGAGAACGGCGCTTTCGCTCGTGGAAAAAGAGCTCTACCATGGGACGAAGACTTCTCCACAGCCGCAAAAACACTTTCACGGAAGGGAAAACGTTCCAATGTTCTACTCACGTGGTGAACTGGACGGAAGCGGGCTGATGACTGGACTCGCTCCCGCCCGCGAGCCGCCGCCGCCGCCGCCGCTGATGGTGCTTCGCCCTTTTCCGGATGAGGAGGCTTGGCCCTGGCTGAGGTGGATGAGGTAGTCCGGGTGCTTGTTGAAGGACGAGATGAAAGGGTTCACCGTGTAGGGCACGGGGACGTAGGCGAACGCGACGACGTCTAGGTCTTCCTGAAATCGGGCGAGGCGTTGTGTCGGGTGGGCAGAGCTGGGCGTTCGACAGCGAAAGAAGGGGCAGGATACGTACAACGGAGGAGAAGGCGCAGACAGAGATCTCGCAGCACGAACGAGGTATCGGCCAGGTGTTATTGGATGATCTGGGAAATAGCTGAAGGCCGGAACTGCAAGCGAGGGTCGCGTGGGAGGCCTAGATATATCTGCACATTGTACTTAGGACAGCAGACCCGCAATGCTTGTCAAGCAAAAAGGTGCAACGTTGGCAGATGGACAAGGTCGTGAAGTGGGAGGGATTGTTACAGCGTTGGCAGGAACGAAAGAGAGCAAAACAGACAGGCAAAAACGAAAACAAAGTGGTATGCGGGAACAGAGGTGCGCAATAAAGTGGCAGTGCGGTCAGTGGCGATGAAGCATGCAGCAACGGAGGTATGGCCAGGCATAGGCAGTACGGTCAGCAATCAGAAACAACAGTTGATCCATCAACAAGTACAAGTACGCCGCCTTCTGGCACGTACGCTGACGCCTGCTTTCTAAACCACGAGCACTGTGCAGATTTACAACCACCACGTTAGAAAATACTGGAAAATAATCTTCTCGAGAGAACGCGTCCAGAAACCAAATCATTGTGAAACGAGGTTTCCTAGCTGCGAATGGAGGGCCTACCAACAAAGCCGGGGCCCAGGAGAGCACGCCCTCTACCGGGTTTCGCCGACCAGGCTGGGATTGGGACCCGATGAACCCACCGTAGGGGGGTACAGTAGGAGTTTCGGTATATCACGGTCCCGAATAGCGCGGTTCCCGACAAAAAAGCGGCCAAATATCCTTGCCACAACAACCTAGCCCGCTACTTAATTGCGACCAGACACTTTCCGCCAATAGCGGAGTTCCCAGTATGACGTGGCGCATTCTTGTCTGTCACCACACCGCGATATGGTGGGACCACTGCTGTACTCGTGATGCCCCGCAGCGCTTACCAAACTCCACTGCTGGTGCATGTCGAGGATGGTCTTGCGGAGGGTGGCCGGCAGGTTCGAAATGGCGCTCCCATCCCAGTAGTCCCGACACATACCCAGCACGATGGATGGGTTCCCTGCCAGGTGTTGCAGGTTTAGGATGCGTTCAGAGACGTGTTGAATTGATGAGAAGGTGGGTTGCCCCGATTCCGATATTATCTGATGCTCTGAATTGTACAAAACACGAGTAACGGACCGGTCACCTCTGAAGCCATGATACAACACATCTGGACTGCAGCACTATGACCTCCTCTCCTCCCCGGCCTGCTCCCCGGCCGGGGCCGAAATCGACCTTGTGAGTCCCTCGCGGGCGAACCAGGCCACAACAGATAGTAGGTGGGTGGTGTCCCAAGGTGCAACTCAACGCCGCGCTGGCTCAGCGTGGCGGTGAGGATGCACAGACGGTGGTAGTGGCGAGAGGTGTATGTGGACCTTGTCCCCGCGGCAGCAATGCAAAGCGGCAAGCTGCACCTGGTAACCACCGTCGCGGAAAACGTGGCCCACGAAGCTGGAGGAGCAGAGAGATTCGTAAAAACCACGCGAGTAAGCACCGTTCGCGGGAGAAGGGAGATAACCGCGGGCGACGCGGGGGGGGAGTGCTGCACCCTCCTCGTCCAAACACCACAGGCAAGCACCGAGCCCTGCAAAGATGGATCGATGCGAAGAAACTCGCCGCTCGGATTAAACGGAAGAAA